TTAAAGGGTGACTGGGATTTAGGGGACCCAATCGCCAAATCCTGGAGGTAAAGAATCATCATATGCCACCTTTTTTTTTTTTAGTTTGGGTGCCACTGAAAATTCATTAGGTTATTTTTTATGTCAGGAAGCTGGAAAATGAGCAATGCTTTCACCGGGACTCGAATCTGGACCTCTCCAGTACGTGCCGAGTGTGCTACCGTTACACCACGAAGGCATGAAGAAAGGAGGGAGAAAATACCTCATAAGTAAAACATCACATATAACCAAAAAATAAATAACTTAATAAATGTATAAACATTTTAAAATGTATCCCTTGTATGGTACTCTTTCAATAAACAATGCAATCCTTTTAATTACAACTTCATTGTTTCACTACCATATAAATAATAATTACTGAAATGTTACTGCAGCAAAATATATATTAAACTCATATGACAATTTATGAGGGGAAAAAACGCTTCTGCAAGCCAAAAACATAAGAATACACTGCAACTTTCTGAGGCCTTAGAAATCATTTTAACCGCATAAATCTGTGTGTTTGTGAAGTATTGGTGACTCATACAGCTTCAGACGAAACAAAACCTGTGAATCACTTTCTTGTACATGGCTGCGAAAAGTAAGGCGCTGTGAATCATCGGTGTTGCGCATGGCAGTCAAGGTGTTAAAAAGTTCTCCACAGAAACATCCCTTCCCTTTTTCAGGATAGACAGCTAATGTGCTTTGCCATCTCTGTTCACTCTGTAAATAGCCTTGCCGAAAAGGGGGCGAAGGGGAAAATCCATGCACAGAAAAGGTCTGTGCATGAATAATCTGTTTATGGAAGGTCCGTGTCTTATTATAGTTCCTTCCGAAGTAGTATATATTCATACATTTATTATCGAATAAACATTTGTAAAGTATTTCATGTCAACCAGTTATTATGATTTTGATCTTTACTATAATTTATCCTTGAAAATAATGCCACCTTATTTTTTTTTCCCATTATCATTAAGATAATGGGAATTTTTAAAGTTTTGTGCGAACTTCTATCTTTGCGTATTCCTCACCAGAATGCAAACTAGCTTTGAGTGTATTTAAGCTGAGGATTTTGAATCGTTAGTTGAGAGAGCTTCTCGAAATCGTCTCGCTGATAGTCTTTTTCTTCAGCTATCAACGAGAATATTAAAGCTGGAAAATAGTGATATTCCGGCTTTAATATTCTCGGTGGCCGTATGCGTCGGTAAGATACTTTCAGGCAGCTTATTCTATTGCATGTACAGTCTTAGATTACGTTATTAACGTTTGAATTTAATGGCCTGTTAAGTTAAATAGTGTGCTCCCATAGAGCCCCCAAGGAGTTATTGCTTCTAGCTAAAGGAGGACGTGGGACGTATGCCTGCTTACCTCTGCCCCCATCCTTCCTCAACTGTCTCCTCTTAAGTTAAATTGTCACAAGTATCGGTTCGCCTATAACATGAGTCGTGCCTTTATATTCTATTTAGACTAAAATAAAAAGGTTTTATTAAACTTGCTTCGGTACTTTATGAGCATTTAAGACTTAGCGATAACTCATGTCTGTCTAGTAGTGTCTGCAGGACTTAGTTTCCAGTTACAATAACAACATTACACATTCTAAATTAGAAATCAAGCGTGAAGACTGAGAAACAGCTATAGTCTTTTAGTCAGTATTAAACATGTATTTACATACTAACTTTGCATTTATCCTTTTGTCTGTGAGATTCGCAATGAGATTTTAACTTATGGAAGCTAGTCTTCGAAAACTAGGTTAATATTTGCAATTAATCATAAAATTTTATATAAGCTTTTCATTATTATTTAATTTAATGAAATGTTTTAAGAAATGAGAAATACCTTCTCAATTTTTGTGCTGCTTTCCGAATTTAAAAATTAATAGTAAAATTATGTAACCTCTTTATTAGTTTTGAATTTAATGAACTATTTTAAGACACGAGAAATAGTATCTACTCTACTTCTTTGTTAATTTCCAGATTTGATGGTTTTGAATAATATGCAATGAGCTTTGTGCTTAATTAAATTTATTTGTAAAATCTTAAAAGTGTTTTATCTGATATCTTAAAAGTCTTTTATCTGATAAAGTATATCGTAATTGTTCCGTAACTACTTAAAATTTGTTTTTGAAGTATTACTTAGTTTTATTATTAAACAAAACTGTCACGTATTGGAAACACATCACGTACTTTCTCGACCACTCTCAAGAGCAGCATCTGTGAGCATGCTCAGAATTATTTTAAAGATAATGGGAATTTTTAAAGTTTTGTGCGAACTTTTCCTTCAGTTCTGTTCTAAATAGTTCTGAAAAAAAGTATGTTTTACTGCAACATACCTAGATTCAAAAAATGCTCTCGAATGCAAGGTTTTAAATTCTGAGTCTTTCTATGTTCGATTCACTGTTTACAGTGTAATATTATGAACTTCCACTTTGGAATACATCTGAATACCAATTTTTGAAACTTGCCAATTTCTTATACATCAGAAATAACATTTATTTGGACATATATATAACTGTGAAATTTTGGCTAAAACCTATTAAATAAAATGTTAGTTTTCTAATATGTAAAAGGAAACAATTAAAATTGTATTGTAATATTTTTCTGTAGGGCACTGATATATCTATACGTGCGATTTCAGTAAACTAGAAGGGAATATGCAAAGGAGCCTGCTGAAGTCTTGACTGTGGATTGCATACAATTTAATAGGGACAAAGTCGCCAAGAGGGGATTAATAAAAGTTTACTCAGCATCTTTTAAATATTAATTAAAAGTCTAATTGAATACTCTAAGCGGTCTTCATCGCATACATAGTTAAATATATGCTGCTAGGAAAGGTAACAACACTTATATTTTATTACATCTCTATACAAATTTCAGATATCTAAAACAAAATTCTGCGTATTTTTGAAATTTCTGTTCAATTAAATCATTTGAAGTTGTGATGTAAGGAGAAGCATTAGTCAGTTTTTAAAGACGAAGAAAAGGAACTGCTTGTGCTGTGTTTATGTAAGGATAAAGCTCAAGTAAAATTCTCTATTAGATTCTCTCGAGGAGAGTTTCATTGAAATGATTCCAGGTTTAATTACGGAACTACATGTTTGTATATTATTGTTACAGAAACTAAACAGAAACTAAATAGTATGCACTAACCTTGTTTGAAAATGGTGGTGGAAAGAATGATATGTGAATAGTCCTAGTGGCTAAGGAGGACTAGACAAACATCACAAGACATAACATAGAAGAATATTTCCCATGTCATATCTTTGCAACAGCCGTATGCTTCTCATTTGGCGACATTCGTGGTGCGTAAAATGGTATATTTGGATGTTCCAGTATTGATGAAATTCATCGTAGATTGACTAAGCTAGGTTTGTAGACAAGACGTAAAAAGGTATATTTGGATGTTCCAGTATTGATGGAATTCATCGTAGATTCACTAAGCTAGGTTTCTAGACAAGACGTAAAAAGGTATATTTGGATGTTCCAGTATTGATGAAATTCATCGTAGATTGAGTATGCTAGGTTTGTAGACAAGACGATCTGTACAAAATATGGCCTCATCTCGAACTATTGTCGTATATGCTTGTGGTGTAATTGCCATAGTGCTGTCCAGCATGAAAAGTAACATAATTTGGTGCTCAATGAATCTCAAAGTTGATCAACGAATGCGAGTTTTGCAGAGTCATTACACTTTCCATCAAAGTAGGAAGGAGATATGAAAAATATACAATGGCTTCTCCAGGATTCGAACTCCGGACATTCTGATTGCTAGCCGGACGTGCTCATCAATTACACCATGAAGGTACGCGGTAAAGGGACAGAAAATACCTTACAGTTTCACATAGCAATCGAACTGATTTTTTTATCATTTCTAAACGTCATAGTTCGTCATTGTGGAGTCATGTTTCGGATGCTACCTAGTACAAAGTCCTTAATCTTTAGTGCATGTCAAGTTTAACGATCTATTCTTGAAGGGCATCAAGCCATTGCAATATTCTATCTAAGTTTAGGGTATACCAAATGGAATGCTTCGGCAAAAAACGTATGATGGCTACAGCACGGCGTACATCAATAGCCATCCTTTTAAACTGTTCTGATGATACCTTGACGGTTTCATCTCAAAACTTCTTTCATTTAACGAATCTATGGGACATGATTATACATCGACATTATGCTCTTTAAACGAGTATGAATTTGGATTTTGGGAACATAACATGGTTCATAGTAACCCACATACTTTTTACATTAATGAGTTTTTTAATAGGGTGAGATTGCTAAACTCCTTATGCATATATTCAGTCAAAGGTAGCATGTAATTGTTTGAAATTAAAGAACATATTTCAGTACCTGTAGGCCGAGCTATGTCTTGTTTCAAACAGTTTTTTAATTGTGCTCTATTTTATTCTGTAGAAAAATAAATTTTCTTAAAGTTTTATATCATTTTGTAACAAATTTTGTACTATAGAAATTTCTGAAAATTATAAATAAGTATTTAATATGAGCTTCTGGGAGACCTCTAAGGAATTTTAGTAAGATAAATATTAGAATTTTATATGAGCTCGAATATAAAAATTTAAGTAAAAGTAAGTATTAATAACTATTTATTGCTTGGTTTAAATATATTTTTGTTTATTGTAAGGCTCTAATGTGTAAAAAAATATGCTAGAGGCACATAACAGTTTGAAAAGTCGTTTATTTATGCTATACTTATTAAACAGCTAGTTAAGTCAGTTGCAGCCATGTGCACGTTAAAGTAAATTTTTCTGCTGATGTCGGTTGACTGTTATCAAAAAACATCCTATCTTGTTGATAAACATCTTATTCTGAAAATTAATCTAATCAGAACTCTGTAGAAATGCCTCCAAGAATCATTCTTTAAAACTGTTAAATAATTACAGAAAGAAATGCTTTCTTTGCTGTAATTTACTTACAGTTTCTGAGGATAATGTTACGAAATTGATTATTTTGTTATGTATTTTTAGGTGCTACTAGAGTTGTCAGATTCTGAATTAGAGGAAGGCCTTGGTATTACAAATCCAATGCATAGAAGGAAATTAAGATTAGCTATTGAAGAACATAAGCAACCTTCTTTATGGTAAATCAGTTTTCTTTATATGAATTTCATGCTTTTCTTTTTAAAGAAAATTAAATGTAAATGATATTAGGACATCTTATTGTAATGGACCTTAAATTTTCCAGCCGATATCCAAAAATATGCTTGATGACGCACTCCTGGGTAATTGAAGAATGGCTGCCAAGCATTGCCCTGACTTGCTACTTGCCAAGTTTTTCTGAACACCTAGTCGATGGTCGGGTATTGGATACTCTAACTAAGAAAGATCTGGAGAAGCATTTTGGCATTACTAGGAAATTTCATCAGTTGAGCATTATGCATGCCATTCAGTTGCTGCGAATGCTGAGCTTTGATAGACAAGTTAGTATTGTAATAACTTCAACCCAGACTGGATTCTTTTCTAGTGTGTTTTAAGTTATAGAAAATATTTTATTTGAGATTCTGAAAAATTAGCATTATGAATATCTGGAATGTTCAGTGTTGATTTGCTTTATAAGTATATAAATTGAAAAGAAAAGTTAATATGTATATTTTGACTCTAGTGTCATGTCATAGTAAATGGTAACCTGAAACTCAAAATTTCCGTAAGTCGAATGGATCTTTAACCTACTGATGGAATGTAAGTGCGACTACTGATGGAATGTAAGTGCGACTAAAAGCACTATATATGTATGTTAAATTACATTTATTGTAGGTACATCGATAGCCGTTTTTCTTACTTTTTGATATTTTTGCATCAAAGCATCAGGTATATCTTAACTCTGAATGAAATGAGATTAAAATTTTAAAGAGTAAATTTAAGACTGTAGATTGTGTCACCGAAATTTAGGCAGTTTTCTTGCGAAAGATCAATTACTTTAGAATTCTATGAATCGTCGTATAAGTATCCATTGATTGTCGAACTCTTGTTGGAAGCGTGCCAGAAAAGTCCGATTCTCACTTTAGGGGAATATTAGAATATTTCTAATATTTCCTTTCCCATCTAAACACTTGACATTCTTTCTTTGCCATTTACTGAAAATATTCCGCCTTTTTCTTCCCTCTATCTTTGATTGCTTATATGTTATTGAGTATTTAGAAAACAAAAGGCAGGAGAGCAAAATCTTGCCAACCCTTTTTTGAAAATGGTTTGAGTTTCTTCGCCCATGTGCAGAAGCATCGCGGGATTAAGATTAACATGAGAAAAATCTCACGAATGTATAAGTTATGAATAAATGTTTGGAAATATAACCTTTAAAATTAGTACTAGCATAAGCACGTTTGGAGAAGTTTATCTCTAACCAGATTGCGGAGTTATATTACTGATTTTATCTCTTAAGAGATCAGTGAAGAAAAGGCCTAAATTACTGTTTTCAAGCTAGGGATTAATGCGGATCTTCCAAGCTTTTATTGTGTAATCCTGCAAATAAGATTTTGATCTTCGTTTGTGAAAAATCTAAGCCCTAATCTCGTCTCAAATCAGATTTGCAGGAAAGATTCCGCTATCTTGGGTATGTTGGTTTGATTATCTAATTTTTATCGTTGTAAAAATGCAGACTGTAACCTGTATTTTGAAGTAACCTCTAGTTCATACATGGCGCCGAAACTGGTTTCTTCTTAAGAGTGCTATCATTTGTATAAAAGGCTATAAGTTAATCATATTTAGCCGATAAACTTTTACCATGAAGCAGATATTTAGATTTAAGCAGATTTATAAAATATATGACATGAATGATAGTAAACTGACGTAAAATTTTATCAAGGTAAAAATTCAACATGTGTTCTTGATTATCTTATTTGTAAACTTAGAAAAATAAAGATTTCGACATAAATAATTTTTTGTGCCTTGATGAAGACCTTGTAAAAGTAAATGACAATTTGGCGAATAAGAATAAAACTTAAAATGTCAGTCTTTAAAGTCATTTACTAGACGGCTTTTTATAGCTCTGTTATACTTTCTAGTCTGACCTATTGCAATGTGTAGGTCTGATAAACCTTATGGGAAATATGACGCCATAAAATATAAAGATGACAGTCCAAACACAAGAGGAGGGAACGAACTTTTATCTGATTTTTCAGAAGTGAGAAAATAGCGGAACGCCATCGTAACTTTGCTCCGTCATATTATGTGCTGAACTTTTAGCAAACCGGCTACTTTTCGTAAAGACACAAACCTTGTGTACCTCAGCGCAAAAAGATGCCGCTCGAATACAAGCAACTTTCGTAAACGTGCTGGTACTTTTTGTCTTTATAACTCCTCCCTATTATGCAAGCAGAATTTTTATTTGCATTTTTAGTCAAAATAGCATGGGGGGGGGAATTTCTTGGATAGTGGGGTTCCAATTAAAGATGTCCACGCTTTTATGAAACCTGCTGCCTTTTTTTTATTTGAAAATTATTTGCCTAAAGGTGCCGACATTCTAATTGTGGAGCGTCTTTATGGTTACTGTCTTTTCAAAGAGGGTGGTGTTTACATATTTTTAGAATTATTTTGATAAAGAATTTAAAGAAAGAACAAATGTTTTGAAATAAAAATTTCTCGCAGTAGCTTATTTGGAAAGAGAAATATCATCTGCTATTTTAAATTTATTCTTCTTTAAAAATGCCGCGTATAAACAGTTGGGGATTGAAGAATATGTTTTTGCAATTTTCGAAGAGAAATATTTCTATACCATTCATTATTTAAAAACGTTGTGAACTGCTTGGCATTAAAATTTCGAAGCGCAAAATAAGCAACATTATTAATCGGAAAAGGAAGTCATTATTACGTTTACATGAAAAGAAGACTTCAAACCATATCCGAAAAAAGTACGTACTATTTCTAATGGTTCTAAAGATAAATCATTGGTAACAATAGACAGTCCACCGATGCAAAAATCAATTACAAAGTCTTTAAATACGTCTGTAGTAATAATAAATAAAATAATATACCAAGATTTAAGTCTAAAATAAGCTAAACAACGCAATGTTAACCAGCTTTTGCCGAGGCATGTGGCTCAATACAGAACAATTTGTAGAACCTTGTACGAAAACTGTTTAAGAGGAGATAAATGGAAATGCATTGTGATGTCGATGAAACGTTGGTTTACCTAAATGACGGCAGCAAAGAAAGGTCTATTTATTATCGAAAACGAAGAGGAAAAAATTTTACAAACCTGGTTCCGTCAATCAATGCAAAGAAGTTTCAGTTAAGGATTTATGACTGTTTTAGGATTCTCTTAGAACGAGAAATAAAAAATAAGAAGAGTAGAAACAAATGTTAAAATCAACTCAACGTAATATCAAGAGAACATTTTATGTCCGATATTTAGAGAAAAAAATTCCATTTCTTTATTCCAATGACTTTCAGAGTGTGAAATTTCATCAATACATAACAGCAAGTCATACTTCGCAAAGCTCCACTGCATCTTTTGGAAAGATAAAGATTGTTACAAGTATTGCCTATATACCATTTCAAGGTATTCCTGCGAAGTTCCCTAGTTGTAGACTCTTTTGTCTTTGATCTGTTGAAAGTAGCTAAATGCAAACCCACTAAGATTGATGAACTCTGTGAAGTAGTGGAAAAGAAATGGAAGTCAACACCCCCGGAAACACGCTTTACGAAAAACCCTTCTATGATGGAAATCACTATGCCGACTTATGATGGAAATCGCTGTACAGACTTATACTATAGTCCAGAAAAAAGGCTATCAGATCGAACAATTAGCCAAATACTTTTCGCCATTTAAAACATTAATTAACTCCCCCTCCCGAAATCGTTCTAAAAATGTGTAAACACCTTCTGTATTACGAGTTATGAAGTAAAAAGATTGTGCATTCGTGAATACGCATGTAATCAGAGATCTTTTCTTGCAAATTTTGGAAACATTGACCCACCTGTATTGAACACGGCGGGGTTTATGTTAAAAAAAAAAATAAGAAAGGGTGTCGATACTTTTTGCGCATATTTTTTTCGTAAAATAAAATAATATATATATATTATTTAGAGTAGTGTTTCTTAAACTTTTTTCAGTCGCGACCCCTTTTTATCACTGAGATTTCTTCGAGACCCCCAGAACCCCGTAACATTTACAAAAATTTTGTGAGAGCCCCATAAGTATTGCGCAAGTCCAACACACGCGTAGTGTGAAACTGTCAGTTTTTTCACTTGTACTTTTTTCACTTGCAGTTTTTGGTCATTAACTTTAATTTCTAATTTTAAGACGTAGAGCAATGTGAAAATTTTAAATAGTAACAGACGAAATGACAACGTCACGTGCAAAACAAGGAAAATGAACGTCTATCAGTGGAGTAGCGAGCATAATTGGCGCCCGGGGCAAAATACCTTTTTGGTGCCCCCCCCCATCTCCCGAAAAAACCACAGTGATATGATGAAAATCTTGTTTGGAGCATGGAGGTAAGAAAGGTCTTACTTCCTACCTCCATGGTTTGAAGACTATTTGGCGCCCCTCTGCGAGCGGCGCCCGTGGCATCATACACCCCTGCCTCCCCCCCTCGCTACGCCCATGGAGGTAGGAAGATCTTACCTCCACGGCTACGGCAATGACGTTTACATTATTAAAAAAATGCTTCGAAACGTGTTCGTTTTTGCTTTGTCTGTATTGTCTTATCTTTATCTATTTTCAGATACATTGTGTAAAAATATTTGGTAATTGTAAAATTATTATAATAAGCTAAAGAAATGTCAAAACTGCTAAAATTTTTGGTGTCACTCTGCTGCAGAGGGGGTCTCGACCCACAGTTTAAGAAACCCTGCTTTTACAGTATCATTATTTTTAATGTCTATTGTGTGAATTGACATTTATGTGCTATCTGATTAAAGTTTCTCGTGATCAGTGTGGGTCAAAAATACCGAACATTTTGATGCTTTAATTAACTAACTGAATGTGTCATTTTTTTTCCGCAGATTTTAAATCAAAGAAGAATGAACAGCGAAAATATGGATGTGGATCCTTTAGTCTGGACGAACCAAAGATTAATCAAATGGGCCATAAGTATAGACCTTGGAGAATACGCCGATAACTTGAGAAATACGGGAGTTCACGGTGCACTAGCTGTCTTGGAACCCACATTCACAGCAGACACCATTGCCACTGCACTTGGAATACCAACTTCTAAAAATATTATCAGAAGACACTTGACGACTGAATGGCAAAATCTCATACAGCCTGCAAGGTAAGTATTGCAGATGCTTTTTTCACTCGATACTGATAACATAATGTGCAAATTAACTGGGACAAAGCGAGTTTTTTTATAATTTATGTACATACCTTCATATACAGGGGTAATAATAAAATTAATAGGAAATATATCCTCCTTTAGTACAAATGACCTCTATGATACTCTTAAACCTCCATATTGCTCTTAAGGATTATAGTGTTGTGCATGTACTTTTTAAATGAGTCTCATGGTTGAAAAAAAGCTTTTTTCCAGTCATTTGTGGTTCAAGATTTGTATTTTTTGGTCCACAATAATTACTTTGCTTCGTTTGACTTCTCAAAAGTTGTGTTTTAATAGGCTTTCTCGCCATCCGACCACTAGTGATAAGTCTACGCTGCGCGTCTGAAGGATTAATATCAATATTAGTAGGTAATAGATTTCTTTTTTAAAACTCTTTCTACTTTTCCTTGGATTAATAATGCAGTTTTGGAATAGGAATCAATATATTAAATTTTTTTTTTTTCCTTCCATATTTGCCCTTGTTTTGGAGAAAATGACCCAGTTGTCATAGGGTCACCTCCAGAATTCGGACTCGAGACACTCGATTTTCCAACTCCAACCGCAACAGTAATGTTTATTAAAGTCTGGAAATATGATTATTAAGTGCGATAACATGTCTTATCCATTTTTAGTACACTAAAATGAACGAATGCAAAGGATACTTTAAAAGTATGCAAAAGTAACTTCCCTCTTCTCACAGAAATTAGCTTAAAAATGGTGAAATAATCCTAATTTACTATCTAAATCAATTCAAAGTAATCACAAGCAGATATCAAGGCAGATAAAACTGTTCTGAAGGACCTTCTAGCGCCAGCTGGCAACCAACATTTTCTGAAAAAAGTCCCCTTGTCTCAATTAATTTGCGTACTATAGTAGATACCAAAAATACTAATGGTAAGTGGATTCTAATGGAAATTTTCTGGTTGTTTATTACTTAATTATTCATGCAAACGCCAGTTACTGTAGTGATCTAAAATTTTGCACATAATTTTAATGGACTCATGTAGTTCACAGATTATCAGGCATCTCCAATTTCAAGCTTGGTAAATGCAGTGCTATGGGAAATATCTAGTTTTTATTAGTATGTACAAATAAGGTTGCTCCAAACGTTGTCTATACAAGCAATGCTATTGGAAACATCTAATGACAACAAGTGCAACATGCTCTTTGGATTGATGGATGAAAGAAAATATGAAATGCAGGTAATCGAAACAGTATTTAAATAAAAAATATCATTTAAGCAACAACATATCAAATATGCATTTTAAATTATTCTAGGACTTAGGAGCTAGAAAAGTTTGAAAGAAATCTTGCAACAATTGCAACGTAGAAGCGAGAAAGGTACTTCGATGAAAGGTCATCATAAGAATTATTAAAAATTCTATTTTAATTTTGTTTCGGCAACTTTCCTACCGCACACGTACCGTACTTCCATGGGTTAAGTGAATATACGTTGATGATCATAAAAAAAAAAAAAAAAAAAAAAAAAAAAAAAAAAAAAAAAAAAAAGAGTTATTTACTTTAATTCTTTGGACTAAAGTAAATGTATATTTGAATAGACTTATTTGATGTTTAATTAATATATCTCTCTTTTTTAAATAATGAAAAATCTATATGTATGTTTTTCGCATTGAGAAGAAACGGCGGCATTTAGAACTTTTGAATTTTGCACAGACGTAGTCCTCTACCGAACATTTTCACCTCGAAGCCAGAATTCGGAATTTCAAATTTTTTTATTTATTTCAAATTTTGTACGGATTTAATGAATTTTTGATTAACAGACTCAGCGATTCAAAGGCAGTTTGTTGCTGCTCGGCGAAAGAATATCATATGTATTAGCCCACCACTGTCCGAGCTGTAAAGTCGTAGAGCATTGGTTATTCGACCTGCGTTTGATTTCAGACAAAAGGATGGATGCGTGGGCATTTTCGTGGTTACCATGGCTTATGTAACTTGGATGCGAACTTGTTTCATCCTCTAACAAGGCTTCCTTTCCCTTAGGCATAGCCTTCGAATGCTTTTCCATAATGAACAAATAAAACATATCTATGTTGCAGGTGTAATCAGAAAACGCAGCGATTTTAAAGAAATGTGATGCCACTCTGGAACTCGTAATATAGTCTTTTAATTTAATAAAATAGCAGAAGATTTTGAATAAATGTGTTGCCTGTACCCGAATATTTTTAGCCTCCACTTTATCACATTTTTCTCCTACATTTATCTTTTGCATTTGGCGAAACGTAACATATTTAATTTTTCTGTATTAGAGAACCTCACGAAACTACAGCCAAAAATATATGCTCAAAGGCACCAAATATAGCAAACGTGCCCATTTAAATAGCAGTCTGCGCATAAGGCCCACCAGCGCGGAGCGGTAAAGTTCCTGAACATTGGTAGTTCGGCCCGAGGTTTTGAATCCCACAAACGAGGGGGCTGCATGGGCGTTTTCGTGGTTTTCCCCATATGTAAGGTGTTAATAGGGATCCCTCCCTTCTTTGTAGTGCCTTGAGGAGGAACACGTAAATGATAATAATAATAATAATCTGGGCATAAATTTAGAACAGACGATTCTTTTCGTTGTAGATTTTTAAGCCGTAATTGAAATACTGTTTTAGATTTAAGTTTTTTAATAACGCTATGTATCTAACTGTTTAGGAATTACCTGGGAACCAAAAATTTGCAATAGAATTTTTTCAAAGAAAAGGCTTTTATTCATTATAGAAAAATATGCTCCAAGAACCATGAGATGAAATTGTGTTTTATCGATAACTCATCAGCGAAATGGCAGTGTAGGAAAGAATCTGTTATGAGAAGAAATGATTAAGACGTCAGAATTGGTTCGGAATATCGATAATCACCTTCCGTGTAGCCGTAAGGTTAATAAATAAGGTTAATAAATCTTATAAGGTATTTCTCCCGCCTTCTTAGCGTGCCTTCGTGGTGTAGTGGTTCTGCATGCTGGGCCCGTATTCCAGAGGTTCGTGGTTCGATTCCCTGCGAAGGCGGTTGCTAATTTTTCATCTTGCTTGTTTCCAAAAATCTTAATGTTTTTACAATCTAGTTTTAATGTCAGGAGATGACATCTCTTTAATTTCGTGAACTACGACTGAAGATAAATTTCGATGCAATTGTAGACTGGAATAGTTATATGCGTCAGGTATGTGCCACAACTTAAATTTCTCGCCTGAATTGAAAATCAGCGGATGTGATAAGATTATTGAAATAGACGAAAGCCTTTCTGCTTGAAGAAAGAATAACTTAGGCATGTTCCACAGTGGGTTTTCATCGGAGTGTGCAGAGGATCAAATAAATGTTTTTTTAGTCTCTGTTCCAAACCGAATGGCGAAAACTTTATTGGATGGTTTGATTTATTTAATTATGGCAAAACACTCGAGGGCTATCTGTTTAAGGGCAGGGATGCCTTCGTGATGACTTTCTAAGGGAAACCGGTTTGTATGTACGTTATACTTGGGGAAATTCGAGCCCACCCGTGGCCGAGCGGCAAAATCGCTCAATACTGGTAGTTCAGTCCTGGCTTCGATTCCAGGCGAACGAGCTGACTACATGGGCGTTTTCATGGTTTTCACCATATCTAAGGTGTTTGTACGAGAAAGTTCCTTTAGAGTGTCCTCCACGGAGGCATCCCTCCTCTTAAGCAGATAGCCCTAGTGTGCTTTGCCATAATCAACTAAACTAAACCTGGAGAAAACTTCGAAAACGCCCATATAGCCAGACCGTTCAATAGGATTCCAACTCGAGAGCGAACTACAAGTGTTCAGCGATTTAACCGCTCGGCAGCTGATGACTTGATTAGATGTTAGAAGAAAACATCGCAGAAGAAAAAGTATTATTTATAATCTGAAATATAATTTGGTAGGCTCCGAAAGTGGCTGTCATACAAAAACAATAAAGCGGCTGGTAGGGTAGTGCTGAATGGTAAATTAAACAGAAGTATTTTTCCTGGATGGAAATGGGCATATACAGGAGGGAAAGGAGGCAAAATGGCTTCTTTTTAATGATATATATGCATTTCCATCCCTGCAGTTGGCAGAGATTGATGATTAAAACCTTAATTTTATTTTAATTGAATATATCATAATTACTTCCTTGTCACTCAGAATGATGAATTTATTCTGATTAAATTCGATACAGGTGTTGCTGTGTATGCGTGAATGTGTATGAATGGACTAAAAATTATTTATAAGAAACTGGTCTGCATTTTTTGAAAGTTTTAGAAATGTTGGTATATTTTTCTGTTCACTATATATATATATATATATATATTAATTTATAAACGAACATGAAATAATAGAATAAATGGAGAGCATAAAATCGGCAATTATTGCCAAAGAAAATGTTGATATTTTCTTAAATATTGTCGCCATGAAGTAACGTAAATAGACACAGTCTTTAAAATATACTATTTCCTGTACTGTAAGCAACACATTTTATAATGCAGTATTCATGATAGCAATAAGGAAGTAAGTAGAAAATTTAAAAGAGAAGAAAAGAGTTAGGAAATTTAGTTTTATCCTTTAAATAGAAATTTATGACTGTATTTCTGAAGATAAGAAGTACATTTTTAGTAAGATATTTATTGAAGTTTTTGCGCATGTTATACTAGGATCTGTGGTCGCTTAAAACCGCATTCATGCTGAAGTTCATTAACGCTTGTCATATATTTTAATCTGTATTTCTGAGTTAAAATACACTACTTGGTGACGAAAGTAACCGGTTATGTTCTGCGGTTATGTGTAAAAAAAAGAAATTTTTAATTTTTCATTATTGTATATTTCGTTTCTCCAATAATTTACTACAATATTTCCTCATGTCAGCCATTGTGATTATTCTAGTGTCAAAGAAATATATAAAGTGCAAGCACTGTTTAATTAAAATGATTTTAAAATTCCCCATAAGAGAATTCGGACAAATTTAACTGCTCAGAAATGACAATC